ACGCATAAATTCAGGAGCCAGGGACATGGAGGAGGATGACCTTGCACACCTCGGATTGAAAACAAGCTGGTCGTGCTCTTAGGACCGAGAAATGGAGGCCACACTGAACCACAACATGAATCGCGGTGCAACATCTGCTGTCGCGAACGACGCAGACGGATCAAGCTCATCGTCATTTTCTTGCCCGTCGCCTGTGGCGCTAGTCGTGCTGGATGCATCCGGATCATTTCCATCTTCATCTTCTTTCTCGTCATCGATCATTGTCGTGCCGGCATCGTTGCCGTAGACTGACGTACAACAAGAATCTTCGGTGGCTGTTTCGGTATTGCTTTGCGGCACATTGGCAAAATAATCGGAGTCGAACCCAAAGTTGGGCGCAGCTTCCGAGTAGTGGCAGACGTAGACGGGAGCCGGACTACCACTTGCGCACGCATTCACCGCGCAACCGAGTTTCGTCGTAGCCGCCCAAATCAAAGCCGTGTAGTGCCCTGTGCCTGAAGGCGGCTGGTTCGCGGTGCCTGGCGTGTACCCTGGGTCGGTGATCTCGCTGTACCACGCCTCGACCGCAGCCTCAATTGATTGATAGCCAGCAGCGACGTTCTCGCCACACGATGGATCCAAATCGTATGCGCTCGTGCCGTCTGGCCGGATGTGCGCACTATTGCCGCCCTGGCTCGGACACGTGTCAGACCATGTTGCTGCACTTGCAGCAGTGGTGCTGTCCCAGGCCAACATATTCTGCCCATGCCGGCACCGGAAATAATTGTGAGCCTTCAAGAACCTGTCATCCTGTGTCAAACTCGTCAATTTGAAACCGTAATTGCAATCATTGCATGTGCACGTTTTGCCGCCACTGCCCCAGCCCGTGCCCCACGACATACAACTACTTGGGCAAGAGTCCGTGCTCGCGCAACATCCATTGGAGCCGACGTCGCTTCCGTCATCGCAGACGAAAGAGTCAGTGTATAGCGTCGACTGACAAAACGTGGCGGACACAGTCGCGACCCCACCAGCAGTTAAGACAATGAGACACACACGAGCTGCGCCCATTGCTGCCAGACTCGACCCGGGATGTCCCAGTCGTTGATATGCGCTCACTGGCTTGAGTTCGTATGGTTACGGACGGGTGAACCAGCGAGGCGCCAGCCCAATCACGCACAGTCGACGAAGACATGGTGACCTTACGCCGTGGCTTACGCGCGCCGCCAGCGCGGCACGCCACGTGGAGACGAGGGCACTTACGCCCCACGTTTCGCGGGACACTGACGCGCCAATGTCTGCGCAGACGGACACTTTTCTTTACGTTGCTCACGAGGCGCAGCAAGCAAGACATTGAAAGGACACGAGGGCCCCCTAAATTTTACAGGGTCGGAATAATCATGAGTCGCGACTGCAATCGCTCCAGGAGGAGGAGGAGGAGCAGGACGGAGGAGAGACCCCGACCTCTCACGCCCCTGTGGACGCTGATGGCTTCGGCTTGGGCTATCGACTTGGATCCCTCCAGCCTTCTGCGCGTATGTGGTTTCACGAATACATTAATCCAATATCCTTCGTCTCCTTCTTGGTCCATGGATCAGGACGGGCCTGGTCGCAAGCGGTCAGAGCGCAGAACACTACCCAAGATGGCCTCACTATGGCCTTAGATAGCCTAAGATGGCCTCCACGATCGCCCAAGATAGCCCAATGTGGTCTATCGCCTGTACATGCAAGACTCCGTGGCCACGGGGCCTTCCAAGGACGCCTCTGAGAAGCCAAAACTCCTTCCAGAACCGAAGGCACAAGGAGTGATTTCCACAGTCTCGCCATTTTGCTTCCGATCGGCTTCTGAGGCGTCAAGAGGGCTCCAAGCTCGCCAAGGGCCAAAGAGGGCTCCAAAACGGCCTCGAGAGCGTCCCAAGAGGCGATTTGGGTGCATCCGACGGGGGGGCTGACATTGAGACTCCCCCCTTCTCGGATGAATGGCCTCCACGATTGCCCCAAAGGGTCCCAAAGGCCCAAAACAATTAGCCTAAGAAAGCTCCGAAAGCGCCTTGAAGAATACCAAAATGGCCCCCCAGAGAATCCAAGATCGCTCCAGGAGGCCCCCAGAAGTCTCTAAGTTCACTGTTGCTGGTCTACCTCACGATATGCTTATGTATCACCCCCCCTTGGGGATCCCTTGGCCACCCCCTTGGGCCCTTTCCCCCTGAGACCCCCCCTCCCCCCTGGGATCACCCGTCCCCCCCTGGACCTCCCCTTCCGACCTCACTACCCCCCTCCCCTGGGACACCCCTGGGCCCCTCCCCCTGGGCCCTGGGCCCTCTCCGCCTGCCCCTGCCCCTCCCATGGAACCTCCCTGGCCTCCTCCCTCTGGGACCACCCTGGGCCGCCACCCCTGGACCCCAACTGACCCCCCACTGCCCCCCCCCCCCAGGAACTTCCCCAGCCCCCTCCCCCACCTGGAAACCGAACGCCCACCCCCTGGGGACTCCTCTGAGCGCGCCTCCCTGGGCACTCCTCCCACGGGCCCTCACGCACCACCTCCCTGGTGCCCCCTCCCCGCTCTGGGGCCTCCCTGCCCCCTCCCCCGCCCTTCCGTAATCCTCTGGGCCCCACCTCCCTGGGACCTCCCTCCCTGCTCCCCATCCCCCCCCTGGAGCCCAAATGAGGGCTCCCTTGATCCCGTCGCCCTGGGACACATCTGGGCAACCCCTCCCTGGGCCCCTTTCCTGGGCCCCCCTCTGGGACCCACCCCTGCGACTCCTTCCCCTGGGACCTCCCTCGCCCGGGACCACCTGGGCCCTCCCTGAGCCCATCTGCCCCTCCCCCCCCCTCCTCTAGCCACCCACTGTGAACCCTGGCCCCCCCTTCTGAGGAAGGGCGTCGGGAGGCTGTTTCTTGGCCCGGGGGCCGAAAACCTCATGCGTCCCTCCGAAAGCCCCTACCGACGACGCCAGGCCCACCGACGTCGACGTCGACGTTGACGACGACGGCGACGACGGCGACGGCGGAGCGCGCCGGGACGCTGGGGCGCCGCGGCTACCATGATCATCGTCCTTCGCCTCCTCCTCCTCCTCCTCCTCCTCCCTCCCTCCCTCCCTCCCTCCCTCCCAACCTTTCTCCCCCCCTCATCCCAAGTCCTGCGAAATGCGAGATCAACCCCAGAATCGACAAGCGTCTGGAACGATGGATCGAAACCGAAATCGGCATCCGCGCGCCTGATAAGAATCGAAACCGGAAAAAGCCAGAGGGATCAAACTAAAACCGGAATCGGCGGGGGCGCACCGAAATCGGATCTGATCGGGACGGAACAAGGCCTGTATCAGGGCCTTCTTTCGGTCCGCTGGGGGACCTCTTGGTATCTACTGTGACATCTCAAGGCCCTCCGGCACAGCCGCAGTGGCGATGAAACCGCGGGCAAACGCCCGCGATGAGAAACTCGCCGTCGGTGGAATGAGCGAAACTGTGCAAGAAGGTGCCCTCTTCATCTATGTATATATATATATATGACATGTTCATTGACATCTTTATGTTTCGTATCTGGGCAGCCCGCGACTTATTTGTCCCTGATTTCTGTTGCATATTTGTTTGTTCGGCCCCAGCTGCCCACCAGAAAGCTTCAGAACCCTTCGGAACCTGTGGAAAATCCTACCGAACCCATGGGAATCCGTAGGACATGGTGGGATCTCCTCAGAAATCCAAGAAGGAAGACATGGGAATACTTAAAGGAAGTTCGAAGGAATTCGCCAGACTCCGCAGGACATGCTTACGAACCGTTTGGACATCGTAATACAGCCAAGGTGGCTCTACATGAATTGCAAGACGGTCCAAAATGCTCTCCAAGACGGTCAAGATGGCCCCAAGACTGGACGAATAAGTCTCGAATGAAAAACTGTCAAGATGACCACTCAACTTGTTAAACGATTTCGGTGGTCTCGTCATGGCTTCTCGGAAGGCCTCGGGGAGTCCCAAGCTGGCCCAAGTCGGCTCCGAAACGGCCCCAATGCGGCCCACGACCGCCTCCAGGCGACCCCAAGAGGCCTCCCAGATGCCCCGACAAGGCTGTAAGAGGACTTCCAGAAGGGCGCAAGTCGCGTTCTCGCCTCCTCGGGCTTTCCACACAGCCCAAGGCAGCCGAAGAGGCATCCAAGCTGGCCCCAAACCAAAGAGGCCAAGAGAGCCCTATACAGCCCACGAGGGCCTCCAGATGCTTCAAGGCAGCCCCCAAGCGGCCCAAAGGAGCACGAAGACAGCCATGAAAGTCCCAGGGAAACCCGAAGGCGGCCCTGGCGGTCCAAAACACGCCCTAAGACTGCTTAAGAGACCCCCAAGAAAAAAGCCCCAATGCATGAACCGAAGCCTACGACAGAACCCGAACAGCTCCAAAGGGCCCCAATGGTTTACCCAAGCAGCTCCAAACGGCTCTCCAGTGTTGCTCCTATAGTTCCCCCCCGCGGCTGGGGGAAGACGTAGCCGCATGGCTGCACGTTCGCTCCACACCACTCAGGCGTGTGGCGGCGATGATTCGACAGAGGCGTCTTCGACATCATTTCGAAATGCATCGGCATCCCATTTTCGACAGATGGCCATCGTCTGAAGCTTCTTTGCGTCTGATTTTCCTAAGCCGAAAACATGGCGTCCCCAGCCCTTGCACAGAAGGAGGGCCAACATCTACACGGACGGGAGGCGACCTCCCCGCAAACTGGCATCACTTGCATCGTGTGCTGTCGAACCTGAACACGAGATCATTGGCGCATATGTCCAAAGCATGTCGGGCTCCTGTCTTAGAGGTCCAGTGGGCTCTAATCCTTCCAGCTGAAGCTCGACGCAGTGATGAGAAGCCCTTGTGTCGACTTGTGGGGGCGAAGCTCGGGGGGGGAGGATGTCACTCGCAGCGTCAGCGGCGTGCGCTGGGTTGCTCGAATCCCCCTCCTCCTCTCCTCTTCGCTCCCCCCTCCCTTTCGCCTCCTCCTCCTTCTTCCTCCTCCTCGATCCTTACTTGACGGTGGTGCCGCCGCGGCCTCCTGGACGTGGGTCAGCCCCGCTCACTTCTTCTTGCCTTTCTTCTTGCCCTTCTTGCCCTTGGGGGCCGTGGCGCCTGCCTTGGTGAGAAGGTTAACGACCTCTGGGCAAGCACCGCGTGGGACCGTGGCTCCGCTAACGCCCCCCTGGAGGAAGGACGGAGGGAGGGGAGGGGAATGAGGGAGGGGGGAGGGAGACGGGGCGATGGCAAGCTAGGTGCGCTCGCTCCACATATGACATCCGATCCCTGTCTCACACTCCCTTCCATTGCGCGGATTTCTCTCTATCCGCGGACGCGTGTCATGGCCGACCTGGAACTCCAACAACAAGACCCCTTAATGCGATGCGCCCGTGTGCCGGCAAGTAGCGTCGCAAAGCAAGCGGCAACGGCGACCACGCCTACACCAAGCTTGACAAAATACACTGAATTCAACGAATTACACCTAGTTGCAACTAGTTTCACATAGCTACACCCCGTTACACGCAATTACACGTGCTTATACGTAGGTACACCTAGTTACATGCAGCCACACGTAGCTACACTTAGTTACACACAGTAAATTGTAGCAAAACATAGTTATACCAAGTTGCACCTCGTTTTCCACAACTGTCCACGAATTTGCACGTTTACATGAAGTCTGTCACGTCATTAACGCAGCCATGCATGCACCGATGCGGCAAACCGCCGTTGGACAATCACATGTCTACCCATGGGCACGAAGCAGGGGATAATTACTTACACAACCATCATTTTGTACAAGATGTCCCCCGTCTCTCTGGCGCGGCCGGCGACGACGACGACGACGAGAACCGCGACGATCAAGACGTTGACGACTAAAATGACAAAGGCGAAGACCACCACCACCACCACCACCACCACCACCACCACCACCAACACCAACACAACGAGCGCGAACATGGCGACGATGACGAGGACGACCATGCAAGCGTCGGCGGCGGCGGACCTCTCCTCCTCCGTCTCATCTGCAACCTCCTGCACGAGTCGCAAACTCCCTGGTTGGTTTCGATATCCTCTATTGTTATCCTTATTCTTCTCCTCCTCCCTCTCTTGTGTTCCCTACTCCTCTTCTTCGTCCTCGTTTTCCAAGCAAGTATTTGGTCGTGTCTGAATGGGCTGGTGGATCGAAACGTCTACAAATTCCAAGGCCATGGGGGGATATCCGTGCGTCCGAGCAGCCGGTGGGGCCCAAGTGCAACGAGCTGTTGAGCGCCTTGCGGCGGGATGGAATTTCCTTCGCTGCAACGTCACGCCCGCCGATTGACAGCGCGCATAATACATCCGACCAATAATATGGTATTTGGAAATTAATTGAATGGAGGTGGGTGTGTCGGAACGCAGCTGCACATCGCCAAGCGCACATCTCGGCGGAAGGCTCCCGTGCACCAGGTGAAACGTAGTACCCATCGCAAACAAGTGGACTACATGCTACCACGCGCAACTGGGTGTAACTGACCCTTGGTGGTGAAGACAGCTGAATGTGAATGTAACGGGCGCACAAAAGGCTCGCCGCAGTCGCCACTTTCGAACACCAGCCATAGGCATTTGGTCATTGCGTGTAGATGAATCTGAAGGTGTGTACCAGATCGCAACTACACGTGGCCGAGAAGATGATAGCCGACTGCAAATGAACGCGTCCTAGTGCGACTATGCGTAACTGAGCCAAGCTCCTTGTAGCGTAGCGCAAATTAATTTCAGCTGCTGGGCTGTTGCAAGAATCTGGGCGGAAGGCTCCCGTGCGCCAGGCAATACGTTGTACGCATCGCAAACTACGGGATTACGTGCTACCACGCGCAACTGGGTGTAACTGGGTGTTGGCGAGGTTAACTGAACGCACCCGAGCGCAGCCTAGTGCAATCACTGCGCAACTCCTTGATACTTAATGTAAGCCGGTGTACCGTAATGTCAAGCACCGTGGCTCGGCACAACGCACCGTGACCCAGTGCGACCATGTAGAAACGCGTGCAAATGAGCAACCAAGTGTAACGAAGTGTAACTTATTCGTGTCGTTAACTTAATGGGGCTGCCGGGCTGTTGCGGGAATCTCGGCGGGAGACTCCCGTGCACCAAGTTGCACTTAGTCATTAGTATCCATCGCAAGCAACGAAATTACGTGCTACCACGCGTAAGTTGGTGTGACTGGATGTTGGCGAGGGTAACTGCATTCAACCGAACGTAACCGAACGCAACCACTGCATCAATCCGCGCAACTTGGCGCAGCTCCGTGCAACTTAAAGTCATACAGTGTAACGCAACGAAACTTGGCATAGCTCGGTACAACGCACTGTGACGCACTGTGACCCAGTGTGGCGCAGCCGCGTGCACATGAGTGCAACGTAGTGCAATGAATATGGCTAGGTGCAACAGCGTGTAATTTAGTGAACCCCGGTGTAATTTTGTGTAGTTTCGTATTACGTCATGTAAGTTATTGTAACCTAGTGTAACTTACTGTAACGCAGTGCAGCTTCGTGTAACCTAACGTAACCTAATGCAACCTGGTGCAACCTGCTGTCAAGGATCCGCTCGCGGCGACGCTGGCCGCGGCCACAATGCGATGCGCAATGAAAAAAAGAAAGCTCCGTACACAGGAAAAGGTAGCGGGTTAGCACGAGGAGAAGCAAGAGGAAAACGAGGAGGTGCAAGGACGACGACGAGGACAAACAGCAGCAGCAGGAAGTGGAACGGAAGGAGCGGGAGGACCAGGAGGACCAGGGGAAGGCGGATGAGGGGAAATGAGGGGAGCGACAACAACGAAAACGACTCAGATCCAGAAGAGTGACCCACGCTGCGGCGGGACGCCATTCTGAACGATGGGAGCCAATCGCCGATCCGAAAATGAGGCCCACGCAGCAGCGGGAACACCATTTTGAAACACTGAGAACAGTCGGACTGCAACAAAAACATCAGAAAGATCACCTTCGCCCAAGTTTTTACATTAACAACAACACGGAAATAAAATGAGCGATTTTCTGGTGGACCGTGTCATGGGCGGAAAAAAAATCCGCCGATCCGGCGTGTGAGGTTCAAAAAACCGAAGCTGCAGCCTAAAGCCTGAACTTCAACTCTGCTGGGGTGGGTTGCCGGGGTGGCTCTGCTGGGAAAAGGGGGGACCCCCCTGCTGCGCCTGTGCTCCGCTTGCTCCGATCTCTCGGAGTAGGCACTACACATTCGCTGAACGATCCGGCCCAGATGCCCATTCGCCTCCAGTCGGTCGCAAAAACGACCAAAACGTCCAAAGAGTCCCCGAGAGCATCCCCAAGAGGACGCCAAGAGGTAAAAAATCCATTCATTGTCTTTGGGAAACCTACATGTCTAGCATGTCTGATCTCTCGGCCCTCACGACGTCCAAGACACTCCAACAAGTTCCCAATACGGTCCCAGAGACCCCCGAGCGCCGCCCCAAGACGCCCCAGGAGTTCCGAAACCGCCCAGAAGGGGCGCAAGACGGCCGAAGAAAATCCCAAGACAGCGCCAAGAGAGACCCCAGAAGGGAAACCCGAAACGATAAATCCCACCTTCCGCCCCAAGGCACCCACTCGAGGTCCCAAGAGGCCCCCCAGAGCCCCCAATGGACTCCCATGAGATCTCCAAGACGCCTCAGAAGGTGCCAAAACGGCGCCCAAGCAACTTGAAAACTGCCCCCCAGAACCCCAGAGAGCAATCCCTCGAAATCGCCGCGAACATCCCAGAGGCTTCGTGATCACCCATAAACCAAGCACGGTGGCGGAATGGACCGAAGGCCGTTAGACCTGGGCCGGCACGGAAACGGAAAGAACGCTTCAACAACGCTTCAAGAACGCTTCGTTCTGGGAGCCTTGGCGTTGAGAGCATGTTACGTCACCCCGCGCTCTTGGGAGCCTTGGTGTTCAGAGATTGTTGCGTTGCCGCCCGTTCCTGAGCCTTGGCTGGGCCTTGGTGTCAGGAACTTGTTACGTCATCGCTCCCTGCTGGGAGCCTTCGTCTTATCAGCTTGTTTGCGTCACCGTTCGCTCTTGGGAGCTTCGGTGTGAAGAGCAGTTTGCGATCGCTCTTTATTTGGCTTTTCTGAGCCTTCTTGGGGGTCCTATTGCGGCCCTTTTTGAACCCGTTTTGGGGCCTCTTGGGGGCTTCCTGGGAGCGCCTTGGGGCGAAAGGCTAGACTTTCGGGTTCGCGGTCCCCCTTTCTGGGGCCGTCTTGGGGCCCTCTTGGGCTGTCTTGGGCGCCTCTTGGGCCGTCTTGGCGCCCTCTTGGGCCGTTTTGGGTGCCTCTTGGGAGCCTCTGGGGCCGTCTTAGGGCGGTATTGGGGGCCTCTTGAACCGTCTTCAGCGCCGTGGAAGCCGGGAAGCTGTGTATACTGAAAATGTACGCTTTCCGATCGGAAATAAATTATTCTCGCCTCTTGATGGCCTCGTCGGACGCCAATTGGGGGCCTCTTGGGGCTTCTTTGGGGGCTGTGGGGGCCTCCCGACAGAGCTTTGGGGCGATAGGCTAGACTTTTCGGCTCGTGGTCCCCATGTTGGGGCCGTCATGGGGCCCTCTGGGGCCGTCTTGGGCGCCTCGTGGGCCGTCTGGGGACCCTGTAGGGCCCGTTTGGGGGCCTCGTGGGAGCCTCTTGGGCCGTTTTGGGGCGGTCTTGGGGGCCTCTTGGGCCGTCGTCAACGCCGCGAAAAGCGAAAAACCGTAGATGCTAAAATTCTACGCTTGCCTCGGGAACATCGATGATTTTGGCCTCTTGGGGCCCTCTTGGGACGCCCCTTGGGCGCCTTTTAGGGGCCTCTTGGGGGCTTTTCGGGCCGTCTTGGGCGGTCTGGGGCTGTCTTGGAACGCTCTTCGGCCGTCTGGAGGGAGAATCAACAAATCATGCAAAAAACTAAAGGGAAACCCTCCAAATAGGACCATTAGGCCCCCCTGCCCCTCGCCCCCCCGTCTGGACCCCCCCCCTTAAGGGCTTCGCCCCAACTCGGCGGAACTCACTCGTACCTCGCTTTTTCCGTCACCTGGCCCGGCACAGAAACGGAAAGAGCGCGTCAGAAACAGAGGCCGAAATCATTCACAGCACCGTTCGCACTAGGAGCCTTGGCATTAAAGGTTATTCACGTCAACTTTCGCACTGGGAGCTTAGCGGTGAAGAACTTCTCATGTCGCTGTCCGCGCTGAGAGCCTCGGTGTGCGTAACTGTTGATTTAAGGAGAGACCGAATTCTTTCAACGTTTCTCATATTGCCGCCGGCTCTTGCAAACGTTCCGCGCGTGGGGGGTGCAACGTGCGCGAGTCTCTGAAGGCAGACTCCGAGACTGGTTGCGGGTCCACTGCGTTGTTGCTTTCCCAGGCCGTGCTTGCTGTAATCGCCGTTGCAACGGAGGCCGCGAGGAGCCCGATATTTTTTCACGCGGCGAGACAGAAGTGTTGCAGCAGCGCGCAGTCCAGAAAGGGCAGGTGCATATCCTCCTCGGCGACGTGCCAGGCAAGGCGGAGAGGAGGGAGGAGGCGAGGTGGAGGGAAGTATATTTTCGGAGGAGGAGGAGGAGGAGGAGGAGGAGGAGGAGGAGGAGGAGGAGGGGGCGCCTCCCTCGAGGAGCTTTGCTCGGGGATGGCTGGCGTGGCCCCTAGGGCCAGGCGACGCGGGCGCGGTGCTCGCAGCGCGGAGGCCGACGCTGCTGCGAGTGCCGGATCGCTCGCCAGGGCCAGATGCGGGAGTGGCGCAGCGTCGCTGACATCGTTCACCTTCTCGTAGAAGACCATGTACGTGTGGCCCCGAATACGATCCCGGGTGAACGTGGCTACCTCCCTCTCGGATGCAAGGGTGACGTCGGCGTCGCTGCACACGTACCAACCTTCTGCGCGGAGCACGAAGGCGACGTAATGACCTGATGCCGCCGTGAGCCCCTCGTGCGTCACCACCGATCGCAGCGCATAGGTCGGGCCCTGCAAGCGCAGCGTCTGCTCGGGCACGACGGCGTGCCGGGTGAGTTTGCTGTTTCTGGCCCATCGCATGAGGAGCAACACGAGCACGGAGGGCCAGGTGTGGTGTCAGGAACTTGTTACGTGACCGCTCTCTGCTGGAAGCCTTGGTCTTATCAGCTTGCATACGTCACCGCTCGCTCGTGGGACCCTTGGCGTGAAGAGCTTTTTGCGTTATCGATCGCTTTTTATTTGGCATCTCTGGGCCTTCTTGGGGGTCCTATTGGGGCCTTTTTCGGGCCCTTGTGGGGGCCTCTTGGGAACCTCTTGGGGGCCTCTTGGGGCTTCTTGGGGGGCTCTGGGGGCCTCCTGGGAGCGTCTTGGGGCGAAAGGCTAGACTTCGCGGTTCGCGGTCCCCCTTCTGGGGCCGTCTTGGGGCCCTCTTGGGCGGTCTTGGGCGCCTCCTGGACCGTCTTGGCGCCCTCTTGGGCCGTTTTGGGGGCCTCTTGGGAGGCTCTTGGGCCGTCTTGGGGCGGTCTTGGGGGCCTTTTCGACCGGCTGCAACGACGTGAAAGCCGAAAAGCCTTATATACTAGAAATGTACATTTACCAATGGGAAATCAATGATTTCGGCCTCCTGGTGGCCTCTTGGGACGCCTCTTGGGGGCCTCTTGGGGCTTCTTGGGGGGCTCTGGGGGCCTCCTGGGAGCGTTTTGGGGCGATAGGCGGCTAGACTTTTCGGTTCGTGGTCCCCTCTTGGGGACGTCTTGGGGTCCTCTTGGGCCGTCTTGGGCGCCACTTGGACCGCCTTGGCGCCCTCTTGGGCCGTTTTAGGGCCTCTTGGGCTCTTGGGAGCCTCTTGGGCCGTCTTGGGGCGGTCTTGGGGGCCTCTTCGACCGTCTGCAACGCCGTGAGAGCCGAAAAGCCTCACAGGCTAGAAATGTACCTTTCCCCATCGGGAATCAATGATTTTGGCCTCCTGGTGGCCTCTTGGGGCCTCCTGGGAGCGTCTTGGGGCGATAGGCGCCTAGCCTCTTGGGGCCGTCTTGGGGCCCTCTTGGGCCGTCTTGGGCGCCTCCTGGACCGTCTTGGGGCCCTCTTGGGCCGTTTTGGGGGCCTCTTGGGAGCCTCTTGGGCAGTCGTGGGGCGGTCTTGGGGGCCTCTTGGGCCGTCGTCAACGCCGTGAAAGGCGAAAAGCCGTATATGCTAAAAATATACGTTATCCTTTGGGAAATCGATGATTTTAGCCTCTTGGGGCCCTCTTGGGACGCCCCTTGGGCGCCTCTTGGGGGCCTCTTGGGGGCCTCTTGGGCCGTCTTGGGCGGTCTTGGGCTCTCTTGGAGCGCTCTCGGGCCGTCTTGGGGGGGGGGATGCGAAAAACATACAAAAACCCAAGGGAAAACCCGAAAACGGCAATTAAACCTGGGCCGGCACGGAAACGGAAAGAGCGCTTCAACAACTTGACCGAAATTACTCACACCACCGTTCGTACTGGGAGCCTTGGCGTTGAGAGCATGTTACGTCACCCCGCGCTCTTGGGAGCCTTGGTGTTCAGAGATTGTTGCGTTGCCGCCCGTTCCTGAGCCTTGGCTGGGCCTTGGTGTCAGGAACTTGTTACGTCATCGCTCCCTGCTGGAAGCCTTCGTCTTATCAGCTTGTTCGTGTCACCGTTCGCTCTTGGGAGCTTGGGTGTGACGATCATTTTGCGTTACCGATCGCTCTTTACTTGGCTTCTCTGAGCCTTCTTGGGAGTCCTATTGCGGCCCTTTTTGAGCCCCTTTGGGGGCCTCTTGGGGGCCTCTTGGGGCTTCTTGGGGGTCTGTGGGGGCCTCCTGGGAGCGTCTTGGGGCGAAAGGCTAGACTTTCAGGTTCGCGGTCCCCCTTCTGGGGCCGTCTTGGGGCCCTCTTGGGCCGTCTTGGGCGCCTCATGGACCGTCTTGGCGCCCTCTTGGGCCGTTTTGGGTGCCTCTTGGGAGCCTCTGGAGCCGTCTTGGGGCGGTCTTGGGGGCCTCTTGGACCGTCTTCAACGCCGTGGAAGCCGAAAAGCCGCGCCTGCTAAAAATGTACGTTTTCCTATAGGAAATCAATGATGTTCGCCTCCTGGTGGCCTCGTCGGACGCCTCTTGGGGGCCTCTTGGGGCTTCTTTGGGGGCTGTGGGGGCCTCCCGGGAGCGTCTTGGGGCGATAGGCTAGACTGTTCGGTTCGTGGTCCCCCTCTTGGGGCCGTCTTGGGGCTCTCTTGGGCCGTCTTGGTCGCCTCTTGGGCCGTCTTCGTTGATTCGCGGTGTTCAGGACCACGAATGGTGCTTTTGCGTGACTCAGGATCGCCAAGACGTAACGATCAGGTGGCTCGTTGAGTTGCAATCACGAGAATGGTGTTTCTGACACGCTTCAAGGTGTCAACACGGTTGTCCACCAACGGGGGAATTCCCTCAGTGGAAATGACACCTTGCAGGGGCCTGTGAAAAGGGATCTTGGAGGGAGGGTGTATTTCATCATCGTTGGTGGGTCGTGGGTTTACCCTGGTCCCCTTCTCCTCCTCCCCTTCTGCCGCCTCCTTCTATCCTGGTCCTTCTGGCCTGTTCGTTGCCTTCCCCGTCCCAACTGCTGCTTCGCGATGGCCAGCCACCCAACCATCAATTGACGATGTCGTGGTGTCGTTTCTCGTGTTCGCTTCGTCTCTCGCGCCCTTCTCCTGACCGCCGCCTGGCGACGCACAAGCCCCCCATCGCCACCTGGCGACGTTATCCGTTGCCCATCCGTCCTTGTCTGCATGTGCGCTGGGTCGCACGACGCTTCCCCCCCGCCTTCTACTTTGACCAGGTCGTGCACTGCTTCATCCACGCCTCTACTGGCACACGATGTGAGAAACGGCAGCCAAGGGTTCGATGGGAGCCTACAAAACGGCCGCTGGATGGCGCGTCTGCCCCCCCCCCCGACGGACAAGGCACATGCTGGGGTATTTGCCGCGCTGCGAGGCTCCCCTCCCCGACCTGGGATCCCCAATTGGGGACTATCTCCGCCCGCTTCTGCCCGAGGCGTGCGCCCCAAGGTCCTAACCTGAACGAATGATGAGAAACGTTGAGTTGAGGAGGACGGAGGAAGGCGGACAAGGATAACGGAGGGGGCGGAGGGCGAAGAAGGACAACTGATGAGGACGAGGATGAAGGAGGACGAAGGACGAGAACGGAGGAGGAAGACGAAAGAAAGATGAGGACGATGACGAAGGAAAACGAAGGATGATAACGGAAGAAGATGACGCAAGAGGGGAACGGACGAGAGTGATGAGGAGGAGAAAGACGGAGGAGGAAGAGGAGGTCGGAAGTGGACGAGGAGCGGAAGAGGAAAACGAGGACGGAGGAGGAGGAGGAGGAGGAGAAAAACAAAAAGGACGGGGAAAACCCCCGCGCGCTCGTCGCCGTCGTCGTCGTCGTCGCCCTCGTCGCCGCCGTTGCCGTCGTCGTCATCGCCAACGCCACCGTCGTCGCCGTCACCGTCGTCGCCGTTCGTTGCCGTCACAGTCGCCGCCGTGCCGCCATCGTCCGTCGTCGTAATCGTCATCGTCAGCGCCTCGCGGTCGCCGTTGGCGGCGAACTTGTCGGCCAACTGCAACGGACACACTTTCTTCTCGTTCTGGTGGTTCACGTCGGCCTCCGGAAGAGCAGGTAGGGGAGAGAGGAGGAGGAGGAAGAGGAGGAGCATGACGACGACGACTGGGGAGATGACGAAGATGAAGCCACGGTCCGCGCGGCGCATGCACTTGGGGTGGGGCGGGAGTTCCAAGCGAAATTTGACTGTGATGGGGTCGTGATCGCAAGGGGGAAGAAGGATGGGGACAAGGAGGGGCCGTGATCGCAGGAGACGAGGAGCACAAGAATATGGTGATGGAACGAGGAGGGCGAGGTGGAGAAACATGAGGAAGTCGGATACGATGAGGAGGAGGAGGAGTAGAAATATAAAGTGCATGGTCATGAGTATGACGATGAAGAGAAGGTCGGTAAAAGGTGATGATGAGGAGCGGCCGTGCCTACCGTCAGTCCAGCAGGCGTCTATGGCCTCATCGCGCGCCTTGCAGTAGCGAGGCACTCCGTGCCTGTAGTGTACAGAAGCGCGGCGCGTGGCGCGGCGTGTGCGATGATACGCAGCTTATTGTAAAAAATGGTATGGAAGTGCTGTCCGACGGACAGCTTCTGGAATTGCGTGTTCAGGAATTGCGTGCTGCCCAGGCGCCCCAAAGCCGATGCGGGTGAGGGGGCCCGAAGAGAGAAGAAAGGAGCGAGGTAACGCGAGGACGTGGAGGAGGCGAGAACAGGTGAGGTAATGGCCGAGTCGGTCTGGGCAGGCTTCGCACCCGAGCAGACAGGTGCGGCGCGGCCCGAAGGGGAAAGGGTGGCTTGTCCACCACGCTCCCGCTAGTGTTCTATAAACCGCCCAACGGATCGCGGGGGCCGTCTGCGCAAAGTGGTTGGCTAGTTCCCCACATGTTTCGTGGGGTTATGGTGTTCTTCCCTGCCGCGTCCCACCCGCGACGCTCACTCACTCACCCACCTCCCTCAGCACAGCACAACACACAGCACAGCACAGCACACACCTGCACATCACAGCACAGCGCAGCACAGCACAGCGCAGCGCAGCGCAGCACAGCACAACACAGCTGCACATCACAGCACAGCACAGCGCAGCACAGCGCAGCGCAGCGCAGCACAACACAAGCGCACACATACACACAACGCGCACACGCACACATCACAACACACAGAGCACACACACACACAAGCAGCGCAGCACAGCACAGCACAGCATACAGCTCAGCGAGGGCCGCGACGCGCACTCGCAGCGCGGCTGGGGGGCTGAGGTGGGGTCTCCGAGCGCGGTGCCTATGCGGGCCATGGCGCAGGGCGTGGCAGGTGTTGCACATTCTCGATTTCGTTGGGAGTGCGCTGGGGGTGGTCTCCGAGCGCGGCGTCTTTGCGGGCCATGGCGCAGGGCGTGGCAGGTGTGGCACTTTCCTCACCCCGTAGGGAGTGCGCAGGGGGTGGTTTCCGAGCGCGGCGCCTATGCGGGCCATGGCGCAGGGCGTGGCAGGTGTGGCACTTTCCTCACCCCGTAGGGAGTGCGCAGGGGGTGGTTTCCGAGCGCGGCGCCTATGCGGGCCATGGCGCAGGGCGTGGCAGGTGTGGCACTTTCCTCACCCCGTAGGGGGTGCGCTGGGGGTGGTCTCCGAGCGCGGCGTCTATGCGGGCCATGGCGCAGGGCGTGACAGGTGTGGCACTTTCTCAACCTCGTAGGGGGTGCGCATGGGGTCGTCTCCGAGCGCGGCGTCTATGCGGGCCATGGCGCAGGGCGTGGCAGGTGTGGCGCTCTCTCGACCTCGTTGGGGGGGTGCGCTGGGGGTGGTCTCCGAGCGCGGCGTCTAGGCGGGCCATGGCGCAGGGCGTGTGTCGATCTCGTAGGGGGTGTGCAGGGAATGGTCTCCGAGCGCGGCGTCTATGCGGGCCATGGCGCAGGGCGTGGCAGGTGTGGCACTTGCTCGATCTCGTAGGGGGTGCGCAGGGGGTGGTCCCCGAGCGGGGCGCTTATGCGGGCCATGGCGCAGGGCGTGGCAGGTGTGGCACTTTCCTCACCCCTTAGGGGGTGCGCAGGGGGTGGTCCCCGAGCGCGGCGTCTATGCGGGCCATGGTGCACGGCGTGGCAGGTGTTGCGGTTGCTCGATCTCGTGGGGGGTGCGCAGGGGGTGGTCTCCGAGCGCGGCGTCTATGCGGGCAATGGCGCACGGCGTGGCAGGCACTGCGTATTCTCGACACCGCCAGGGGTGCGCAGGGAATGGTATTCGAGCGGGGCGCTTATGCGGGCCATGGCGCAGGGCATGGCAGGCGCGGCAGATTCTCGACACCACCGAGGGCCGTTGCCGGAGAGGCCGTTATGGTGCTGGCCGTGCATCGGTTGGTTGGTGTGGTCGGTGTGGTCAGGTCTGGTCAGGTCTGGTTTGGTTTGATATGGTATGGTTGGTCTGGGCTGGTTGGTCTGGATGGCGTGGTTGGTTGGCCTGGCTGGTTCGTGTGGTTCGTCTGGCTTATTATGGTTGCGATTGCTGGTGTGACTCGCATGCTTGTATCACTTATTTGGTTGATTGGCCTGGCCGGGTTTGGCTGTGATTGCTGAAATTGTTGATCTGGCTGGTCTGGTGGATGCTGCTTGTCTGGTCAGTCTGGCTGGTCAGTTTGGTTCGTCTGGCGTGGATTGCGTATATGACTGATGATGGTTGGGGGTGCAGCTAGGGCGAGAGTGCGTGGAGGGCGGCGAAGCACGATAATGTATGTGAACACGCACAGCAAAAAAGTATGTGGTGTTCCTCGGTTGCGTAAATATTGCCAACGGTCGTTCGGCTTCGGCGGCGAAGTGGTATCGGGCAGCGCTGTCGAGAGGCGGCGTGCCAGGACCTCGGCGAACTTGTCGGGTAGAAAGAGGAGTCAAGGACCGAAGCGGGGGATCGCTGGACCCGAGCGCGCCTGGATTCGCGAGCGGCTGCAGTACGTTCGTCGTCGGCCGCTCGCTTAGCATCGCTCCAAACGCGCGGCGGCACGAAATATGGTGGCGCGCCGTCTGCTAGAGCTCGCAAGTGCCTGGGGTCTTCCAAAACATACGGGGGACTGTGGCCCGAATGCGGGCCTGGGCCAGGTCTGTAAAGGACAATTCAGGATTGAGCTGGTCCTGTGCCGTGGCTAGCGAGCGATACAGTGGCTTCCAGTTCGGTCGCGTGGCAATGGCAGCGCGTCAGGCTGGTGCAAGTGAAAGTGTAACTAGGGCGCTGGAAAAGGACGGTCGCGACCACGAACGAACACCGATGACGTCGACGAGGCGTCGTGAGTTGGAGGGGGGGCTGAGGGCCTTGTGCAGCGCGCCACGCTCATGCCGCAAGAATGTGGCTCGGTCTGGAAAATACAGCCTGAGGTACGAAGGTGCGGTGATAGCACACGTTTTGTAAAATGTGAGTGCTGCTGATTTGCCTGGGGCGCTCGCAGCAAGCTGTGCCACGCGCTGCCAGTACTTGCCAAATGCTGCTTTCCGCTGCGTGCCCAGTGTCACTGCGAGGGCTATGGGCACGCCTAGCCAGCGTGCGTATTCAGCTATTCGGATGTGCTGCTACCCGGGAACTTGGAAAGAACGACGGCGCTGCGTGAGAGATTGCACAGCTGGTGAAAAATGCTGCCCACAATGGCACAACCGCCGTCTTCTGGATCTGAAGCCCGAGTCCTGCGACAGACGCCATGGCCCGAAAGGGCGGAGCGTGTGCGCGGGGGGGGGGGGGGGGGGGCATGGGGAAGGCCCCGAGGCGAGCGAGAACCTTCCCCACGTCATCAGCACAGGCTCCGAGCAAGTTGGATCCAGGGAGAGCGCTGAAAATCTGGACCAGGTGGCGGATGGGCGCGTCGAATGCTAAAGCCCAAATCGATCCTGAAAGGGGCAGCCCTGAAGAACTCCAGAGCCGCTTTCGAACGCGCACGGGAAGCGGCCAACCTCGCGGGCCCAAGCCCAAATATAATGATAGAGAGCGCAGATGACACTCGGATAACCTGGCGGAGCCCCGTGGACAACCAGGGATGCAGGCGAACCCCCCCGTCCTAAGGATGGGAGGGCGGCTTCGATATCAAAGCTGACAAGAGGGGGGGGGGGGGGGGGGCATCTGGGGCATCTGGAAAGTGCCCTGCTCTACGGGCCTCAGAATCGAGCGTCGGTGCGTGTTGCCCGAAGTTCCTACCCGTGACGAAACCCTGATGGGCGTCGATTGCGCGATCCCTGACCATATCCACGGGGCCCATATTCACGACGTGCGCGATCAGATTAGCGTCGCAGCTCTTCAGGGAGAGGGGGCGGGTAGCTCCTGGGGCACGAAAGTCGGCGAACTGGCCCTGGGGTTCGTCACCTTTGGGAAGAAACGCGAAGACCGAGTCGTTGATCGGGTGCGGGGCCAGGCCCGTTTCGAACATCTGCAGCATCAGGTCATAGAAGATCTGAGAGGATCCAGGAGAGGTGGCCCATGCTGCACATGGGATTTGTTCTGGGCCTGGAGCGGCATGTCTAACCTTGCGGAGGGCCCTCTGGAAGTCCTGAAGAGCTGGAACCGGGAGGTCCGCGCAGTCGAACTTCGGAAGGTGCGTGGACAGGCGCTGCTGGACCGCCGCGGGGCCCATAAACTTGTCCGCGAAGATGGGCTGCCAAACCTCCTGGGGGTCTCCAAAGATACCTTCGGGAGGGCGGGTGGTGGGAAAGTTCGCTGTTTGTGCCCCCTCTTTCGGTGTCCTGAGTCCTGAGAGTATGAGGCGACGCCGAAGCGGATCCCAGGCTTGTGTCCTGGGTTTGAGCTGCGTCGCAGCCTTTCGACTGCCTGCCTGGTCCATCTGCACTCCTGGTTGTGTCTGCAGCTGGCGATTGGTGGCGAGGGCGGCGCGTCTGTCGAAATCGGCGGTGACCGCTGCGTCCATCAATATGCTATACTGGCCCCTGTTCGCGAGCTCGGGGCCGCCGCTGGCAACGAAGAGGCGCGCGCCGCCGATCTCGGCGGCGGCGACTAGCAGCGGCGCCGTGTCTGAATCCTCCCGCCAGATAGCACGTGACATTGCACGCGTCGCAGCAAGCCTGCCATGCTTCGC